TGAGTATTTTTAAATTTTTTTTCTCAGTGCTCAGAGGACTATACACAGTGCCAGGAATTGAGCTGGGGTCAGTCACATGCAAGGTCAGTGCCTTGATCCCTGGGCCATCTCTCCAGTTTGAACTTAAATTTTTTTTTTGCTGTTTTTTGGGGGGGGTCACACCCGGCGATACACAGGGGTTACTCCTAGCTCTGCACTCAGGAATCACTCCTGGCGGTGCTGGGGGACCATATGGGATGCTGGGAATCAAACCTGGGTTGGCCGCATGCAAGGCAAATGCCCTACCCACTGTGCTGTCACTCTAGCCCCTGGACTTAAATTTTTAACAGAAACCTTTGAGACCTTCTACCTCGATTTCCTAAGGTAGAAATTCAATGGTCTCTTATGTCTAGGCCACACAGCTTAGGGTGTTTTTTTTCTTAGGGCTTGAAGAATCCTGACACATTAGACTCAATTCACATTCCTCTGTGAGGCTCTAGGGTAGGCACCAAATAATCAAGATGGGAGACTCTGATGTGTGGCAAAATTTCCAGAATTTGCCCACTTGTGTTAATCTACAACTATAGAGCCGTGGACACATACAATTAAGCCAACATCTTCACCTCAGTTTATCCTGTTTGTCTGTTTTTGTCACTATGGTAAGACCAGCCCAGTCATACTTGGGGTCCAGATGGTGTAGGGGACCCAACCAGGGTCCTGAAATGGAAGACATGTGCTCTATCATTTGAGTGCCAGGCCTGGTCCCTTCCCAGTGAGACAGTCCTTTGTTGACAATGATTCACTTTGATATATACAGTGATTCACATGATTCACATTTTTCACCATAAGAGATGTATCAGACTCCAAACTGGAGTGAAGCCTACTTTCAAAACACTTTCTCACAGATTTCATTGGAATAAGAATTAAGGTTAATCAAGGATAAGGAAGAACAAACATTGATTTGGAAAACACATCAGGACTGGAGAGAGCATGCAGAGGGCTGGAGCACAACCTCGCGTGCTCGCGACTCTGAGTGCGATTCTGGCACCACTTGAACCCCAGTCCAACACCGGCTGGGTGGCCCTGGTGGTCCAGCACTGCTGGGCCAAAGCAGTACCACATTGTCAGGCCTGAGTGTTGAACTATCTGGCCCAATTGGCTGGTTTGTGTCATTGGGAGTGGGTCTAGCTCCCCAAAGCATTGCTTGGGAAGTTGCCCTTGTCGTAAGCAGATTGGGGGGGGGGGGAGTCAGTATACTTTTTGAAAATAATAAAACTTAAGAAGAGATTTCCTCACCCTGAGGTGTAGCCCAAGGGCACCACATGCCTCTGAGATACAAATGCTGAGCTCCCTGAAGAAGAAAAACTGGGGCACTACCCACATATAGAAATTCCCCACCAGGGAAGGGTGAAAGCCTAAGAAAAGGAGAAAACTATAGAAGAAACTGAAGTCTCATGAATTTGATGAAGAAATCATCAACACTGTACAAGATGAAGTTAAAAACCATCAACAGTGCAAAGCTTTTTGTGACAACACACAGATGAACTTTTGTGTAGGCAAAAATTCAGAAAAAAAATCCCATTTGGAAAAATTGTACAGAAATTCCTTTTGAAAGCCATCTGGGGTTTGCTCATATCCCGCTCATGTTCTCCCTTGAGCATGGGTCTTGTTTGCTTGTCTCTGTTTCTTTGCTTGCTTATTTCCACTCTGGAGAAGTCTGGGTTCTCTCTTGAATACCTACTTCTCCCTTTCACTTACATCTTTCTAAATAAGTTTCAATAAAAATAACCTTTGAGGTTAGAGTGACTCTACAGTGAGTAGGCTGCTTGCCTTGCAGACAGTCAACCTGGGTTTGATCCCCAGCACACCATATGATCCCCGAGCCAGCCCAAAGTGATCTCTGAGTATAGAGCCAGGAGTAGGCCCTGGGCACCGCTGGGTATCACCAAGAAATCCCTCAAATCTACCTTACTTCACTATTTTGACTCCTCTTATAATTCTTTTCTGTGAGGGAAGGTGACAGACCCATAGTGCCTTGCTGAGGTTGGGACTGACCTGATCTAGGCCAGGCATTTCTCTAAGCACAGGGGGCTGAGGTAGGTTGAGCAGAGAGGTAGAAATACTCTTTTCTCAATCTTGTTTGCTCCCCATTTTACTGAGTCACAGGTAACACCCTCAAAAAATATACCATCCAGTCGACAGGAGCAATAGTACAGTGGGTAAGGCCTTGAGTGTGGCTGACCCAGGTTTAATCTCCAGCATTCCATACAGTTCTCCAGCCATGCCAGGAGTAATTCCAGGAGTAACCCATGAACATCACCATGTGTGGTTCCAAAACAACAACAAATTACACACACATTTTTTGTTGTACACATATGTATAGATGTATGTATATATATATATACACACAAAAATTATTCAATGGATGCTATCAGATATCAGATATCTGGTGATGGAGAAGCATGTATTACACACATACAGCACTGTAAAGCTAACCTCCTGGATTCTGTGGCATTGTGAGATATTGATAATAATAATATCACACAGAATCAATTACCCAGGTATGGCAAGTATGAAGGACAGATAGTCAATGCTATATTAGCATATAAAATGCTAGATAGAGGGGATAATATAGGGAAAATGAATAGGAGCGATAGCACAGCGGGTAGGGCGTTCGCCTTACACGCGGCCAACATGGCCGACCCGAGTTCGATTCCTCCGCCCCTCTCGGAGAGCCCGGCAAGCTACCGAGAGTATTCGATATGCCAGACACAGTAACAACAAAGTCTCCAATGGAGACGTTACTGGGCCCGCTCGAGCAAATCGACGATCAACGGGAGGGCCTTTACCTTTACCTTACCTTTTATTATTAAAATGAAAAGTTTAAATGTGAATAAATAGTAAGCAACTAGAATGGAAAGGAAGTTTTCGTTAAGATGTCTGTGTGCAGTGAGAACAATGTCTTCCTTGCCAAATACTAGCAGAGCAGTGTGTGTCACTAACATGCACGGTTGTAAGGAAATGCTCCACATAGAACATTTTGGTTCAAGGCAATGAAGAGCCAGACCCCAATACTATCCTAGGGGATGTAAAAAGGTGGGAGGAAAGAGAAGGAAAAATCAGGCTCAAAGTTCCCTCTAAAAACCACTCCAAGGGGTTGGAGAAATAGTATAGCAGGTTAGGTGCTTGCCTTGCATGAAGCTAACCTGGGTTTGGTCCCTAGGTCCCATCTGGTCACCTGATCTCAAGAAGTGATCCTCGAGGACTGAGACAGAACTGAACGCTGAGCACAGCCGGGTATGGCCCCCAAACAAAAAATAGAACAAAAAAGGAAAAATACTCCAAGGGGCCTGAGAGATAGTATAGGAGTCAAGGCAGGTACTTGCAGCTGACCCAGGTTCAATCCCAGAACCATATGTCCTGCACCAAGCATTGTCAGGTGCAGCCCTAGGGGCACCCGTCACCACTGGGATGGCCCAGGTATGCCTGGGGCCTCAGGCTGGGCGGCACTGTTTCAGACCCCCACATTGCCTGGCTGGCAGAACAGTGCCAGGAGCCCCCACACCTCTGAGCCCCAATTTGGGAGATCCTAAATATGCACATCCCTTTTGAAAATATCTGAATGAAGTGGGAGTTGTAGCTTTCGCTGTGTGTCTGGAAGTTTCACAGACATGGAGGTAAATCCCTGCCTTACCCTCAGGCCAAAAATTTCCCTCGCAAGCACAGGCAGCCCCCTACTCTTTAGCTCCATCTTCTTTCTTGTCTTGGTTTCTGATTCCTGCTGGTCCACATCCTGAGAGGAGACAACCCAGTCCTTTCACATCATAGATAAAAGGTGGGCTAGCGGCAGGTCCATGGCCATTTCATCTCCAGGGGCAGAGGCTGAGCTCCGCTTGGTTCTTCCCTCTACCCCCATAACCTGAGTCTGATTCCATTCTATTCTCCAGTTCATACCAGAAGGTTCTCCCAAAGCCCAGTCCAAAAAGGTGAAGGCAGAGCCTACAAACATAGCGGCTGTCCTGAGAAAGCTCATCTGTCTATTTCAGAGAAATCCAGCAAGGACTCCCAGTCCCAGTGCTCAGAAACACTGGGGCAATGTTCTGGAGGCTGAGGAGGCCTGGCATGGAGAGTTTGTGCCTGAAGTTTGTACTCCTCCAACAGTATACGAGGTGCCAACAGGGGTGGAAACAGCTGCCAAGATGCCAAGTGCAGGAGGCGGGGGAACCCGCCGGACTGGATCCTGCTGATGTGCCCTAAGACTTGGTCATGTTCTGCGGCCCTGGATAGTCAGTCTGAGACCTCTAATCTTGGGTCCCTCTTTCCAGGTGACCGAGAGGGAGAAGTAGACCTGGCCACACTCAGGTGAGGGGCCTCCCCAGGGAAATTGCTGAGCTCTTTGGGGGCCATTTCTTTCTGCTTATCTTTGAACAAGAATCAGCAAGGGAAGATTTTATTGCATTTAAAAAAATAGCTAATTGTACAACATTTTGCTAAGCATTCCATGTGAGAAATATATATTGAGAAACCTGTCAAGAACTGTCACGGTCACTGTCACTGTCCTTCCTTTGTTCAGCGATTTGCTCGAGTGGGCCCAGTAACATTGTGAAACTTGTTACTGTGTTTGGCATATCGAATACGTCATGGGTAGCTTGCCAGGTTAGGAAGATGAAAATTCCCTGAAATGAATAGAGAGCTCAGCGGGATGAGTGCTGTGTCAGCCCCGGGATTGAGACCCAATATCTCCCGGTCCCCCTCCTTCCCCAGCATCACTTAGAGGGACTCCCTCATCACAGCTGGGTGAGCCCCTCCCCCAAAAAATCAAACTAAAAATTGACAACTTGAGTTTGTCAAAACATCAAAGACAGCAATCCCAAATCAGCACAATTTTATGGATTGTCTTGCAGACATTACTTCTCTGGGGCTCCTGGAAAATAGAGGTTCTCTTCAGTTTAATCATTCCCTAGAAATTGCTTTCTCAAATGGAGATGAAGCCTCACAGGTCTTCAGGGGGCTGTACTGTGTCAGGCAGTGAGATGCCTGGGAACTGCATTTCTCATCTCCTTCCATATTGTCTTCTGGGTCTCGTACACAGATTCCTGAAAGATCCTCTCAACTTGGGTAGCAAAGCCTCGGCTGCCCTCCTCCAGGGCATTGATGGTGCGAAGGGCCAAGGGTGTCCGTTCGCGGGGCAGGGGGTTGCTCAGTGGCCGCATGGGGATGACCGAGTTGTACTTGTGCTGCCTGTTGACGGAGTTCATGAGGGATGTGTCAAACTGGAACCTGCACCAGGTATCTTGCAGGAAGTTCTCGGTCAGCAGTAAGATGGTCCAGGCCGAGCCGTTGACAGCGTCATCCAGGTTCTGCAGGTGCTGTCGGCCACAGGGCATCTCTGCGAAGATGATCCCAGGTTTGATGCCAAACTCATTCTGCAGCAGACTCTGGACTCGGAGGGCCTCGTATGTGTCCTCTTGTGCATGGAGGATCACAAACTTGAGGAACTCTTCATCCTCATCCTCTTCTGCCTTCTCCTCCACTTCTCCTGTAACCTTTGGCTCTCTGGAGATCTTCTCTAGGGCAACAAAATGTGGCTTCTGCTGTCCTTCCTTTGTTTCCACACAGTCACCTTTACCCCATGAGAAAAAGAGAGGACAGGGATGGAGTTTAGACTTGCCACCACCCATGATAAATATCCAAGTCAGGAGAAGGCAGCTCAATTTTTTTTCTCAGCATATCTTTTCATTCTAAAAGGAAAAATAACATGACAGGAAAATATTGTGATTCAAATGAAGACATCAAAATGGACATTGATAAAAAAAAATTCAGCCCAAAAAGCTTGAAAAGGAGACAGTAATTGGGGTCCAAGGAAGAGATGCCAAACACATTGTTGGTCTTTCGTGAGCTACAAAAGGGCTCTTACAAGGGCTGGAGCAACTGCACAGCGTGTAGGGTGTTTGCCTACAAACAGGCGTTTGTGGCTAGGATGGGTTCGATTCCCAGCATCTCATATGGTCCCCTGTGTATCGCCAGGTGTGACCCAAAAAGAAAAAAAGAGGGGGGTGCTTGCACAGATATGGAGGGTATGAGAAACAGAGGGTCCAAGACATTATAATCATGGTAACAGAAGAAGACATTTGGAGATTTTAAATAGTATTAGCACTCTCTGGCTTCAAATTGAAATAGATTACTGTTGGGGCCAGAGAGACAGTTCAGAGGCTAGTGTGTGTGCTCCTCTGGTGAAAGTTTCAAGCTCAATTCTCAGCTCCACAAGGTCCCTCAAGCATTGCTAAGAGTGGTTTGCAACAAATAAAATAAGATACATTACTTTAGAATTTCAGTGGACGTTCAGAATAAGAGAAGGAACACATGGAGGGTGCGGGATCCCGGAGGAAAAGAAAAAAGAAAAAACAGGTTCCAAAAAGAGCCGAGAGCACCGGGAAGTTCCAGATGGAGTAGGCGCCGCATCCCGCCTCCCCCAGATGGAACCCTGGTGACCAGAAGCCTCTACAAACACAGCTCGAGGATGCGGGAACGAGGACTTTTTCTCAAATCTGCCGGACTACACCTCCCAGGTAACCTCTGATCCCGGAAGTCATGCCCACAGCCCGCCCCCCAGCGCCATCTTTGAAACGTTCAGAATAAGAGAAGGAACACATGGAGGGTGCGGGATCCCGGAGGAAAAGAAAAAAGAAAAAACAGGTTCCAAAAAGAGCCGAGAGCACCGGGAAGTTCCAGATGGAGTAGGCGCCGCATCCCGCCTCCCCCAGATGGAACCCTGGTGACCAGAAGCCTCTACAAACACAGCTCGAGTATGCGGGAACGAGGACTTTTTCTCAAATCTGCCGGACTACACCTCCCAGGTAACCTCTGATCCCGGAAGTCATGCCCACAGCCCGCCCCCCAGCGCCATCTTTGAAACGTTCAGAATAAGAGAAGGAACACATGGAGGGTGCGGGATCCCGGAGGAAAAGAAAAAAGAAAAAACAGGTTCCAAAAAGAGCCGAGAGCACCGGGAAGTTCCAGATGGAGTAGGCGCCGCATCCCGCCTCCCCCAGATGGAACCCTGGTGACCAGAAGCCTCTACAAACACAGCTCGAGGATGCGGGAACGAGGACTTTTTCTCAAATCTGCCGGACTACACCTCCCAGGTAACCTCTGATCCCGGAAGTCATGCCCACAGCCCGCCCCCCAGCGCCATCTTTGAAACGTTCAGAATAAGAGAAGGAACACATGGAGGGTGCGGGATCCCGGAGGAAAAGAAAAAAGAAAAAACAGGTTCCAAAAAGAGCCGAGAGCACCGGGAAGTTCCAGATGGAGTAGGCGCCGCATCCCGCCTCCCCCAGATGGAACCCTGGTGACCAGAAGCCTCTACAAACACAGCTCGAGTATGCGGGAACGAGGACTTTTTCTCAAATCTGCCGGACTACACCTCCCAGGTAACCTCTGATCCCGGAAGTCATGCCCACAGCCCGCCCCCCAGCGCCATCTTTGAAACGTTCAGAATAAGAGAAGGAACACATGGAGGGTGCGGGATCCCGGAGGAAAAGAAAAAAGAAAAAACAGGTTCCAAAAAGAGCCGAGAGCACCGGGAAGTTCCAGATGGAGTAGGCGCCGCATCCCGCCTCCCCCAGATGGAACCCTGGTGACCAGAAGCCTCTACAAACACAGCTCGAGGATGCGGGAACGAGGACTTTTTCTCAAATCTGCCGGACTACACCTCCCAGGTAACCTCTGATCCCGGAAGTCATGCCCACAGCCCGCCCCCCAGCGCCATCTTTGAAACGTTCAGAATAAGAGAAGGAACACATGGAGGGTGCGGGATCCCGGAGGAAAAGAAAAAAGAAAAAACAGGTTCCAAAAAGAGCCGAGAGCACCGGGAAGTTCCAGATGGAGTAGGCGCCGCATCCCGCCTCCCCCAGATGGAACCCTGGTGACCAGAAGCCTCTACAAACACAGCTCGAGTATGCGGGAACGAGGACTTTTTCTCAAATCTGCCGGACTACACCTCCCAGGTAACCTCTGATCCCGGAAGTCATGCCCACAGCCCGCCCCCCAGCGCCATCTTTGAAACGTTCAGAATAAGAGAAGGAACACATGGAGGGTGCGGGATCCCGGAGGAAAAGAAAAAAGAAAAAACAGGTTCCAAAAAGAGCCGAGAGCACCGGGAAGTTCCAGATGGAGTAGGCGCCGCATCCCGCCTCCCCCAGATGGAACCCTGGTGACCAGAAGCCTCTACAAACACAGCTCGAGGATGCGGGAACGAGGACTTTTTCTCAAATCTGCCGGACTACACCTCCCAGGTAACCTCTGATCCCGGAAGTCATGCCCACAGCCCGCCCCCCAGCGCCATCTTTGAAACGTTCAGAATAAGAGAAGGAACACATGGAGGGTGCGGGATCCCGGAGGAAAAGAAAAAAGAAAAAACAGGTTCCAAAAAGAGCCGAGAGCACCGGGAAGTTCCAGATGGAGTAGGCGCCGCATCCCGCCTCCCCCAGATGGAACCCTGGTGACCAGAAGCCTCTACAAACACAGCTCGAGTATGCGGGAACGAGGACTTTTTCTCAAAACCGCGCGGCCGCTTACGCGGCCGCGCGACATCTCTCTATATACAAAGTGATCAATGAGAAGTAAACCACCCAATCTTTCTCCCTGAAAATCAGAGTTAAGTTTGGAGCATGGCCACAGCCCCAGAAACACAAGGACTTAATGCAGAAACCAGCAGCTTAGAGCAGAAAAGTGAACGGACGATGCGTTAACCCAGGCCATCATTTCTGCCCAGAGGGGAAAAGGGTGTTGCCCCATTCGCCCTCTCTTCTCTGGAAAGAAGGATGGCAGCCGCATGGGAGCCTTGTGGACAGCAGGTATGAGCCGGGGGTGTGGGGGCGACTAAAACCTCATGGGAAGAGGGGCGTTCCGGTCCGTCCTTCACGCCCTACCGAGGTCACCAGTTGCCCCCCACGAGCGGCTCTCCAGCACGGCCACAGCCCCAGAAGCACAAGGGCTTAATGCAGAACCCAGCAGCTTGGAGCAGAAAAGTGAAAGGACTATGCGTTAATCCAGGCAATCATTTCTGCCCAGAGGGGAAAGGGTGTTGCTCCCTTCCGCCCTCCTCCCTCTGGAAAGAAAGATGGCGGCCACATGGGAGCCTTGTGGACAGCAGGTATGAGCCGGGGGTGTGGGGGCGACTAAAACCTCATGGGAAGAGGGGCGTTCTGGTCCGTCCTTCACGCCCTACCGAGGTCACCAGTTGCCCCCCACGAGCGGCTCCCCAGCACGGCCACAGTCCCAGAAGCACAAGGGCTTAATGCAGAACCCAGCAGCTTGGAGCAGAAAAGTGAAAGGACTATGCGTTAATCCAGGCCATCAAGTCTGCCGGAGGGGAAAGGGTGTTGCCCCATTCGCCCTCTCTTCTCTGGAAAGAAGGATGGCGGCCGCATGGGAGCCTTGTGGACAGCAGGTATGAGCCGGGGGTGTGGGGGCGACTAAAACCTCATGGGAAGGGGGGCGTTCTGGTCCGTCCTTCACGCCCTACCGAGGTCACCAGTCACCCCTCACGAGCGGCTCTCCAGCACGGCCACGGCCCCAGAAGCACAAGGACTTAATGCAGAACCCAGCAGCTTGGAGCAGAAAAGTGAACGGACTATGCGTTGATCCAGCCCATCAAGTCTGCTGGAGGGGAAAGGGTGTTGCCCCATTCGCCCTCTCCTCTCTGGAAAGAAAGATGGCGGCCACATGGGAGCCTTGTGGACAGCAGGTATGAGCCGGGAGTGTGGGGGCGACTAAAACCTCATGGGAAGGGGGGCGTTCCGGTCCGTCCTTCACGCCCTACCGAGGTCACCAGTTGCCCCCCACGAACGGCTCTCCAGCACGGCCACAGCCCCAGAAGCACAAGGGCTTAATGCAGAACCCAGCAGCTTGGAGCAGAAAAGTGAAAGGACTATGCGTTAATCCAGGCAATCATTTCTGCCCAGAGGGGAAAGGGTGTTGCTCCCTTCCGCCCTCCTCCCTCTGGAAAGAAAGATGGCGGCCACATGGGGGCCTTGTGGACAGCAGATATGAGCCGGGGGTGTGGGGGCGACTAAAACCTCATGGGAAGGGGGGCGTTCTGGTCCGTCCTTCACGCCCTACCGAGGTCACCAGTTGCCCCCCACGAGCGGCTCTCCAGCACAGCCACGGCCCCAGAAGCACAAGGACTTAATGCAGAACCCAGCAGCTTGGAGCAGAAAAGTGAACGGACTCTGCATTGATCCAGGCCATCAAGTCTGCCGGAGGGGAAAGGGTGTTGCCCCATTCGCCCTCTCCTCTCTGGAAAGAAAGATGGCGGCCACATGGGAGCCTTGTGGACAGCAGGTATGAGCCGGGAGTGTGGGGGCGACTAAAACCTCATGGGAAGGGGGGCGTTTCGGTCCGCCCTTCACGCCCTACCGAGGCCACCAGTTGCCCCCACGAGCGGCTCTCCAGCACGGCCACAGCCCCAGAAGCACAATGACCTAATGCAGAACCCAGCAGCTTGGAGCAGAAAAGTGAAAGGACTATGCGTTGATACAGGCAATCATTTCTGCCCAGAGGGGAAAGGGTGTTGCTCCCTTCCGCTCTCCTCCCTCTGGAAAGAAAGATGGCGGCCACATGGGAGCCTTGTGGACAGCAGGTATGAGCCGGGGGTGTGGGGGCGACTAAAACCTCATGGGAAGGGGGGCGTTCTGGTCCGTCCTTCACGCCCTACCGAGGTCACCAGTTGCCCCCC